TATATATATATATATATATACTATTGTTTATAGAAAGAGACTTTTATTATATACTATATACTAACCAAGATAAGAATGAGAATGTATCAGGAAGAATGGAAGGGAAGTGACAGTGTCAGTTCAAAAGTTTTTCTTTTCTAAGATTCTACTTGAAAAAAAGAAAAAAAAAATGGTGACACTCCGATGGATTTTGATATTCAACACAATATTTGCAAAATTATCAAAATCCATAAGGGGAGGTTTCACCGAAAAAAGTTCTAACTTAATTCTAATATAATTAATTAATTGATCGATTAATTATTATTAATAATAATAATAATAAAAAAAAAGAAAAAAACTACCAACAGTAAACGATTAATCTACGTGGCAAGACTCAACAACAACGCGGTGCCTCTTTTTATCCAGAAATCCGATCCTTCGGGACCCGAATTCAAATCGACCGCCACAACGAATGCAGGTCGTCCCTGATCCCCGCATCTCTGAGGATAATAGTAACAGGGACAAGAGTAGAGTCCTGCGAAAGAAAGAAAAGGATAGGAAAAGAAAACATCGTTTGTGCTCCATCCCCAATATTTTGTCGTCGTTTACCTCTGGTTCTCTTTCTAAGGAGTTCCGCGGGCCGGAAGTGAATCACCGGCATGTTGCAAATAAGTTGCATAGGAGCCGGCTCGATGAGGACGCTACCCCTCTTGTCCCAGCCCGCTCCTTCCAGATATATGGAGCGTACGTACACGCCGTCCTGTAATGGAATGTACACACAGTTAAGTGCATTGCGCGCACATATATCTCGTCTTAGAGATATATCCCTCTCCTCCTATCTTTCCAAGCCTCGATATCGAAGAGACTTACGGCGATTTCTGGGATAAGAATCGTTTCATTTCAATTTAATAAAAAAAAAATCTTAGATAAATATTGCTTGTACATTGCTTCTATTTTTGAAAATGTGTATTTGTAGAAATTTCGTTCCATCAAGGGGAGAAGGCAACATTATACGCAACATTTTGGACGATTTTGGACGAGGGTTGAAATAGGTTGGACAATTACCATTGGTGGCTCAACAATGGCCGACTCGTCGATCGTGAAAACGGTGAACTCCCAGGACAGGGTGTCTATAGACACGTTCCACATCCTGGCGGACATCTGTAATACGGCGGTGAGGAAACCGGTTGGGAAAGTGTACGCGGCGAGCCAGAACAGGACCGGTGCATGAGTGGTTAAGGCCCATTCGTTGAAGTGTTCCACCCTGTTGACCAAATCCCTGGTCCAGGCGCCCAACAGCTTCAACGAGGGATACGCCATTAGCCAGATCGAGGGGACACGGCCCTCGAACACGCAGAAGAATATCTCCTCGAGTTCATGGGACATCAGTATCAAACCCTTGATGGCCAATTGGAGCTCGTTCAAGCTGTTCCGGGTATTTTGCAGCAGCACGTTGTATCGTTGTATCTCTTGGAGCAGTACAACGTCCAACGGTGTCTTCTTTGGCCCTATCAACTTCACGGTCGCCTCGTAATCGATGTTGTCCGGTATTTTTGATAATATGTCCGAGGTTAATTGATTTACCTTGAGAAGATCGATTCGATCGATTGATTGGAATGGAAAAATTGTTATTGGTCACATTTAAGAATATGAAAAATAATATGTATAAGATACACGTTTATATAAAATTTTATAAAACTATTCTGAAGAAATGAAGATTCTATAAAGTTTGACATACTTTCTCCTCTTTGCTAACTTCCTCTTTCGTAACAGTTTGGACCTGGAGTTCCATCAAAGTTTCGAACATATTTCTAGTCTCCATGATTAAACAGGTGATGTCCGCGTTCGGGTGTTGACCGAATGCTTCCGGTTTATCGATGGTAGGTAACACAGCTATGAAATCTAGGTAGGACCCCAACGAGCCATCCTTCGGTATGTAATAGGTTGGTAGCGATGACAAACGATAATTAGGGACAGTCAGGGCCTCCTCCGTGAAATATTGTTGTACGTATGTCATTAACAATCGGCGGTCCCAATCGTCGGTCACGTGGCCGCCGTAACAAACACCCGCTATGAGATATTTCAACGATTCCCAAGGAGTTTCCGGATATTCGTCCAGATATACCTGTAGAAGGTTCTCCGACACCTGTTTTTCAGACAATAGAATCGATCCATTTTTCGAGATGATATTAAAATATCAAAAATCGAATCGTAGAATCGATGTTTCGAATCAAACGAAAAAGGATCAGAATATTTCGGATATTTTCAAATATTCTGGCCGATCGTTGAGCCGAATCGTGATCGAAATTACCACAAAGTCGGAGTCGTTGAAGCTGTAGATGACGTTCCAGCCCAATTGTTGAAACTTTTTACGCTCGAGGAGGATCGCGTGGAAGAATACGAGGGCGAACAGAAGCTTCTTGTACTTGGACTTTGCCTGGCAGAGCTCGAACTGGTACTCGGTCATCAAGCTGTAAAGCCGTTTCATGTTTGCCTTCAAACCTTTCGGCGGTTCCGTGGTCATCTTTATACCGGCTTGGAGGATCGATATGGGGAACTGGGGAGTCGGACTGGAGCTAAGCCACAACCTGCAATCGGTCGAAAGCCCTTTCATTATCGATTCGCGCGACGACGACAACCACGATCTAACCTGAATTGCGGGTGGAGGGTTTTACTGGCCCCCAACATTTCCACGATCTTGTCCAATTTCGGCATCCAGCTGAGGGACAAGTGGCAGTTCGCCAGGAACACCCAGGCACCTTCCTTTGCCCCCACCTCTATCATCCTGCAAAGTAAATATTTTATCTCAGATAGGGATTAACACTATCAACTTATCCTCTTCTTCTTCTTCTTGATAATAATAACGAATCTCTCTCTCTCTCTCTGTCGATCAATATAAGAGCGACAACATCAATCCTCAACATTTGGAATTGAAATTTGGAATTGTTTCTTTGAGGAGAATACCTGGTGGCGATAGGCGCCTGTCCCTGGCCCAGGGACAGTGTCATAAAGTGTTTAGTCATTTCCTGGCTGTCGACTAGCTGCATCAGGCTGCCTGTAGGATCCACGCCCGGGGAGAGGACGAATATTAGGGGAGTTTGTGCAATGGAATCGTCGAGCACCGACTTGAGATCGAGGACGGGCGGCTCGACGAATCTTTGGCCGAGGTTCAGCACTATAAAGTTCGCTATACAAAAGGAAATTCTGTCCGGGCGACAGCTACGTATTATCAGCATCTTTTGGAACACGTTGCAATTCATTTCCCATTCGGACACCAACGGCGTGTTCTCCGGCTCCGTGGCGATGTACCTGAAATTTTCGAACAAAACGGAAGTTACTTACTTAGTTACTTGGAGATTTCAATCAATATACCAGGTGTTCCAATCCCGCGGGAATTGCTCGAACGATGAAATGAGACCGTGAAACCCGGGCAACTTATCCAGTTCCGTGATATTATCCCAAGTTTCATCGGGCAGCCAAGCCACCGGTTTATCGGGCTGGGCCTCCCTGTCTAGGACGATTCCACCCCGAAGCAGGAACGCGTATTCGTTAGGGATGATCTTGCCCTGGGCGTCCAGGATTTTCATGCACATGTTGAACGAGAACAACAACTTGTGCTGCTCGAACAGACCTCGACAGGTATTCCTTGAAAGGTGTTTCTCAATTATTATTACGAGACGTCGATACTAGCGCCACGTTGCCATTAACTAACCGGTAAGTAAGTAACTATCAATATCAAAAAATTTCGATCGATAATTTTTCTCGAATCTTAATCATTCAGGTTGTTATATATTTTATATATATATTAATCATTCAGGTTAAATTTATTTACAACTTGTATAATTGAGCTCGATCGACCGATATTTTTCTTTTCCTTTCCAGAATGAATATTTCCTTACTTGTACAAGGCGTAAGTGTGATACTCGTTCAGGCTCTCTATCCTCTCTTCTATTTTAATACTCTTCGCGCTTTTGTCGATGGACAGCTTGAACAGGGTAATGTACGCGTCCAATGAGAACTCGTACATCGGATCGATATGGCTCATTTCGTTGAGAACGAAGAAGAGGATCGAGGCACGATGGGCGCACGGCCTGTACTCCTCCCTCGCGAGATCTATCTGTTTCTCGGTCTCCTCGGAGACGACCAACGACTCCTCGATCGAGATTGAGGTCGCCTTGGACGACTGGAGGGCGCTCAGTAAATCCAGATCGTCCAGAAGAGTGTCCCCGGCCACGCTCAGCAAACTGAGGCAGAGGTCGCAGATTTAGTCTCGGCGCGTGTTTCTCCCCCTTTTTAACCCTCTTTGTACCTCCTTGTACTTTTCTTGGCTATTATTATCAGACAGAGTAGGAAAGAGTATCATATCTTACTATAGTATTCTGTCCTCGAGCTCTTTGAGAGTTCGTTTATTGGAAGCGATCGTGTACACCAGATTGTCCTTCTGTTCCTCGAGTTGGGGCTTCTCTTTCCTGACCACGATCCCCAAAAGCTGGGCTTCCAGTCCTGCGCACGAGATAATAAGGTTCCGCAAAGTTCCTCACCATCTCCCTTCCGCTCGCGTCCCATCCATTCCCTCCCTCTCTTTTCATTTCATTCTCTCACCGTTCGCCCTATCTTCACGCTTTTCTAACGTGACTCGCGCTAAGACAATTAGTTACCCTCTTCCTTAATAGCGAAGTTGCATAACGTCGTTTTGGTGGATATCTCCGGGGCGTAATGGGGGTTCGCGAGTTTCGTGGTGATGAACAGCCGGAACTTGTCGTGGTAACTGATCATCTTCTCGTTGAACTTGATCATTATCTGATCCTCTGCGTAGCAGAAAACGGAACGATCGAATTCTATCCTCGTTTTGTCTCCCAGTTTTTATTAAAATTGTATACGCTCACCTACTTTCACGAATGCTCGATCGAGAATCGGATTCATCACAGGGTCTATAGTCTCGCCGATATTTTCGAGCAGAACAGGCATGCCGAATTGGAGCGCGTATTCCAACACCCTGACGAAATCTGGTTGGCCAAAGTCGATCACCTTCAACGTCTGTCAAATTAATTAATAAATTTGTTAATTTCTTTTTTTATTCTTCTTCTTCTTCTTCTTCTTCTTTCGGATGCATACGTTCCTGGCCTCCATGTTCTTGATCCATTTCACCGCCTGGCACTGTGGATCGATCACCAACGGCCATCTGGTTCCCCTCGTCACTATGATACCATTCTCAGTACTGAAATCGTCCGAGGGTAGCCCTTGCATGTTCCAGTCCCTGATCAACGCCGCATCGGCCAGGAATTTCGTCACGTAGAGGTCAGGCGACATTGGGATCTCTTTATCCATCACCTTTCGAATTAATTTCGATAATTTCGACAATTGGCGATTAACGACTCTTCGAAATTCAAAATGGAAAGTATCACTCTGATTCGCGCCCCACCTCTTTCATCCAGATGCCTATCAATTCCTCCCTGTAACTGGACACGAACGGACCCAAATAGGAGACGAAGGCGGTTGATATCAGGCAATCACCTGGCAGCCAGTCGAAGAACTCGGCCAGAGATGCGACCGTGTTCTCCCATCGGACCCTTTCATCCGAGAGGCCGTCGACCAGCATCGCGGCTCGATCCAGTTTCAGCTTCAATAGTTCAGCCTGGTGAAAAACCGAAAACTAGAATCGAGAATTCAATCGTTGAAATACAAATATGAATAAAAATAAATCCAATTTTCATCGAGTTCGAAGATGGAAAAAATTAAATCGATAGAAGCTAAGCATTGAAACGAAGTTCTGTTTTCTTAATTTATACAGGGTGATCAAATTATTATATTTTTTAATTCACTTAGTCGAATATTTAACGTACATAAGTTTCAATTTAGTAGACAACTTATTCGAATAAGTGGTTCGCAATTTAATTTGACCGCCCATTTTGCAACGACAAAATCCGAATTGCGAACGGAGAAGAAGCGCAAGAGGTAAATATAAAGACAAACACCGTCTTGAGTGGAGGAGGAAAGAGTAATAGGAAAATTCGCGAAAATTCAGGGTAAATAGATGTTTAAATACCGGGAGAGGGAAAGTTTACCGCGAAGCGGGAATTCGTGCAAATAGAAACTGTTGGCGGAGTCGCACAAGGGAGGTAAGGTACACGCAAATAGTTCAATTTTATTTAAATCGAGACGATTATGTTCCGCCACTTGCCAGCTTAATCAATTCTTCTTTCTCCTTCATCTTCGCGTCGTACATCTCCTGCAACACTTGCAGCTTCTCTTGCAATTTCTGCAATTGATACATCGCCTCCTCCAACGCCTTCTCCTTCTCCCTCAGAGATTTCAACGCGGCCTGCAACTTTTCCCTCTTTGGCGCCACCACTCTGAAATTTCATCGACAACTCTTTTCCCCATTTGAAATTCGTAGAAGAAAGAGAAGTGTATCCTCTTTCACGTCACGTTTGGAAAATTCTTTAAGTGCGAATATTTATTTTTAAAAATTAAAAATAATATTCGTTTCGAAAAAGAAAAAAAAAAAAAAGAATATTCGTTTCTTCCCTTCAGACTATTTATAAATGGGATCGAATTGAAAATAGAGATGGGGAAAGTTCTATTTTTCAGATCCTCCGTCCCATCCTCGATAGATTTATCTCCATGGTTACCTGTAAAGCTTCCCGTATTTTTCCATGGCGATGACCCACATGCAGAGCGACTTGGCCGCCACAGACACCAGGCCAACCTTTTCCGGCACGAATTCAGGGTTCGACGTGTACTTGGAAATGGCTCTGAGCGTCCTGTCGGAGATGTTGTCCTTGTCGAAGTCTCGAAGCTGGGCATTCGAAGGTGGGCCGTGAAACTCCGTGAAATTTTAAGGTAAATTGTATCGTTACCGTTGCCAGAAAGTTCACGTCGGCGAGTTGACGCTTCGACTCCGCCCAGCTCGGCTCCGAGTTCTTCAGGATCATCACCGCCTCCATCACCATCTCGACTTTCGGCGGTGGACGCGTGAAGGATCGTATCTCGGATATATCCTTCTTGCTCAACGCTTCCAGTGCCTGTACAACAAGCGATGAATCAAACATGAAGAAACAGAGATTTTTTTCCACTGAAAATTAATTTAATTTCTCGAATTGATTATTTATTTAATTATTAAGAAGAAATATTGTCTTGTCTTGTTTAAGAAAAATATATATATATATAATATAACATGGCCTTAGATGTCTTTAGAATTGTAAATTTAACGAGACATACTTTTTTTAATTTACAGAATAATTTTAGCAATTTTAGCGATCAAGGTGATACTCAACATGTTTGAAAAATCTGTTCAACGATCGATTGAAAGACGAAACGAATGCAGCGTCGCCGCCATATTGCTTTCGAGACTTTTCGAAGCGACAAAGCAGATCCGAATTTACGTAACACGTCCAATGTTACTGCTCTCTATAAAACGTGGCTGCGAACTTTTGGCCAGGAAACTTTTTACTGACGGCGTGCATAAAACGGCAAGTTGAAGGGACCAAGGGAGAAAGGTCGAACTTATTTGCTCGCAAATAATAAAGATATATCTGATACGCCTTCGAACTTTGAGTTGAGTGGCGCTATTTCGATCACGGTTGAAAATTGAATGGGCACGAGGATGAAGAAAAATTAACGAATCGATACCTTCATAGCCTCGTTCAGAGCCGGTTCAACGGTTGCCAGGTCGGCTCGAGCGATTTCCTCGAGCTTCTTGCACTCCTTCTGCTCCTCCGAGATCTTCTGCGACCGCGCTGTCACCGTCTTCTGCGTTTCGTCCGCGTCGCGACGTTGATTCACTGTGCGACAATGTGAATTTTTTTTCGTTCGTGTATAAGAAAATTAAATTTTCAATTCTCCATGTTGAGGAATATCTCTTTTAATTCGATTATATTCGAAGAATAAGAATAGTGATGCATGCCACAAAAATGAATGAAACTTAATATAAAGTGAGCTAAAGAAATTAAATTTTAAAGAATATTTTTTTAATTCGATTTGTCGAACAAAATCAAGAAATTAGAAAAAGAAATTGTGTAAACTTAATATAAAATGAGATGAAAAAGTTAAAAATTCTTCGAATAAAAGAATGTTTTTTTAATTCTTATTATAACTCGAAGAATTCGTGGAACAAAATTAAGAAAGAAAATTCACTGAACGTTAATTTTAGCAAATTAGGAAGTGTACATTTTATCTTATCTATCGTTAAAGAGCAAGATTACCAAGAGTGAATTATCATCAATTATATATAATGTTATGAGCTGTCACTCGTGGGTCAAGGATGGATAACAGGGCAAGTTTCAGCCTGGTGGTTCGATGTAAATGCACCTAATGACGATACATCAACGTTGAAAGGATGACAGGTACCTATCGTTACCAGAAACTCTTCGCATTCCCTGGTTGATTTATAAACCTGCTCGTGTGTGATTTCCAGCTCCCCAGCCATTTCGTGCACTTTAAGGCGGGTGTCGTCGATCTTCGAGAGACCGCCACGAAGTTTGTTCGCCTGGCCCGCCAAATCGTCCCTCTTCTCCGCGAGCATTCTGAAACCGAGGGCCATCGAGCTGACGTGTCGTTTACCTTCTCCTACCTCTGCCATTCTGTTTGGAAACTGTTTCCC